TCGTTTTGAATACACTTCTTTTTACTTATTCTGTTTGTTAAACTTTTGTTGACTGTTGGCTCCATGCTGCCTGTGATCCGTGTCATGTTTTGATGTTTCTTGGTCTCAGACCCCACACATGCGGCTCGGCGGTGAGCTGACCGAGCTCTAAGGTCTAAGATGGCGTCCTCATTGTCAAGCACTTCCAATTCCAGTTCAGATAGTTCAGCAGCTGACAAGTTATTCTGCAGTCACTAGATAAGGGTTTGTTCTATTTTGCCTCTATTTACCCTGTTCTTTCTTCATTTTGCTTAAAAACCAGATAGCATAATTTTGATGGCAAGAAGCATAATTTAGAGAAACTAGCATAATTTCCACATAATTTCCAAAAATTCTGAGCACTGCTAGAAGCATAATGTGCCATTTTCACGGGCACAACAGACAAAATCCTATGTAAGCAGGGCCACTTGGGGATATTTTCAAGATTGACAGATGGACTACATTTACCTGTAAGCATCAAATTCCTTCTTAAAGGGATTTGCAAAGAAGGACTGCAAAGACAATGAAGCACCTAAGGATGAAGAAAAGTTCAAGAAGAATGTCTACCATTCTGGAAAAGATGAACTTAAAATATTCCTTCACAGTAGATACTTTGTGTCCTGTGTTTGCTTTACATGTGAAAAGTCACACATTGAACATGGCTTGTGTGTGCACTGGCCTCTACTTCACAAAAGGGAAGCAAGCTTTAGAAGCAAACAAGCTTTATGTCACCAATGGTTTCAGTCTTAGAAGACTCTTCTGTAAATCACTAACTCTTGGTGAAATTGGCATCTTCGACAAAGATTATTGTCCAACATTCCTGTTCATTCATCTGCAATATTTGTTAAACTATTGTTTTGTTTACATGTACATTGGTCCTGGAGGAGGCAGCGTGGCCAAGCGGTTAAGCACCAAACTTAAAATCCAGAGGTTGCAGGTTTACGTCCTGTTCTGACCACCAGCTGGTGTTGTTCTAGATACCCCTGAGGTCAACTCCTCGGCCAAGCTTGTAAATAGCCAACTGGTCCACCTTCCTGCCAGTTGGGATTTTTAACCATATTATGTTCATTTACATTGTTTTTTTGTTTGTTTGTTTGTTTGTTTTCATCATGAATTTGTTTCCACTGGCCCTGAAGAAAACCCAGTGGGGGTGTGGTCTATTAAGATTTTTTTTTTCCTGAACAGCCCCATAGGGTGAGTGGTTGTCAATAAAAATATTTATTTTATAATTATGTCTATTGATGATACTCACTGATAACAAGGCATTCTTCAAGGCAACCATACACATATGCAAAAACCAGCAGCTTTCCAAGGTGAACATCAATCGGCAGGCTACCCAGCACTTTGCCAATAAATGTCAGCTCTCCATCACAAGGATTAATGGTACCATTCTTCATAACAATGGTCAGGGCACCCACCTAGAAAACAATCATGTCATACATTTAAATACTAGAATAAGCAGTGTTTGCATTCACATGCACTCTTGATAAGAGAATACAATTGGAGAACTGACCCTACAGTATGTCTAATTTGTGATCCAGAGACAAACTTCCAGAGTGATCAGGCATTCGTTTTTTGGGTTAGAACCCAAGATCACAGGTTACAGTATAACCTGACTACAGAGCCCCGCATGTAATGAATCTCTTCATGCAATTAAAACTACCCTGCTCTCAACAGACATTTGAGATTCAACTTGTGAAATTCCATTTTGATAATGTACAAAAATTTGTAATTCTGCAGAGATCAATATACACCACTTTCTTCCACATGGAGTTATTTTTAATTATTGTAAGTGAAATCTTGAGAGACCAAGACAATCATATTTCCCTGTCTTCCTCACCTGCTTCAATAGCAAGACTGTCCGCTCAATGTCGTCTGAATCTGGAGGCTGTAATGCCAGTCTTAGCACAGCCTTGGGGGGACCAATATCCAAGAGCTTCACTTTCAACACAACCTGTTCTAGTGGACATCTCTTGGGAGGAAATAATGTAAAGAAGCAGAGTGTTACAGTCCTGGCATATTTAGCATAGTCATACATTTAGCACATGCATAAACAAAAATTCAAAAAATATGTGTAGACATACATGTATATTTTATTTTAAACTTCTACCCACACCCCTCCCTCCCTCCCTTTAATTTTGTACCCATATCCCTCCCTTCCTCCAGCTCAAGTTGCTTCCACAGCCTTACCTCTTTCCCTCTGAACTATTTATACCCATGCGTCCCTTGCTTGCCCTCTCCCTCATCCCCCCACCCAACTCAATCCTTACCTACCTCCCACTCAAAAACAATGAAAATATTTGGTTTGACTGTGATGCTTTTATATGTTTCTTCATGTTTGAAAACCCAATGTTCCACTCACACCTTTGTTTGTGAAAATTAACTTAAAGGGGAACTTTGAGAAAAATTTAACTTCTTTTACCTTTTGGATCAACAAGTAATTCGCAATGATTACCAACTACTTGCCATCTATATAGTAATACTTATTAAACAGTGTGCACCATTTACCTGCATCTCAGGAATACCAAACTGTGGAAGGCATGATTCATAAAACTCCCTGGTTACCATTCTGTAGCATGTTCCTGTCGACACACGCCCGGCACGACCTAATGACAAGACAAAGAAAAAGTGGAGATAAATGAACCTCTGTGAGGACACAGGTAAAGAAAGAGTGATGTTCCCTCCTGGTAATTTTGTACTATGGTGATGAGAAATGTGTATTGTTCTATTAAGACATTGAAAAATGCTGTGTCTGAAATAAGATTGACTAATAAATTTTTGGCACTATTCTGTAGGCTCGCCAGGTACATTTTAGAATTAGCATAAATATATCTGTATTATGCTTGTTACACCATAGTCAAGTTAACAAAGGTAAAAAAGACCTTTGTAAGCAGACACTTAGCCATGTTTCTATCCATTTGACTTATACCCACTGCAAGTAATTCGTAGCCTCACATTAATACACTGCATAACTCTTCTAACTGGACACCTGATCAGGCTAGGGTGTCTGTCTACAGACAGGCACCCATTTTCAGAGCTCACAAAAAGAGCCAACTAGTAACTTTTCATGTCTACTTGCCCGATGAACAGAGGCCCAGAAAAGTCATAAGCCAATCAAGTCATAAAAGGGGGGGAAAAAAAAAAACATGCACTTGCCTTGCACAAGCAAAATTGAGAGTTACTTGTCTGAAGGACAAGCTGAAATTCACATTTTTTTCAAGCTTCATGTTTTTACAACAGTACCAGTCTCTTGGAAATCATCTTGACATCCCAAATGAGATAATGTAACATTATAAAAACACACAACCATGATATTATAAAAAGCAATGTGGTCTGCATACCTTTACGTTGTGTACAGTTGGCTTTGGATGCCCATTGCGGCCGTAAACTCTGGAAGTTTGTCTCTGGATCGCAAATTAGACATTTCTCCAGACAAAAATCAATAACTACGAAAAACATAAAGATACTGTACTCAGACTATAAAAAGTACAAAAAGTAGTCAAGAAATATTTCTCATACACATACACAGTATTGTAAAATGAAATACTTTTAATCCCACAAGTGGTAGGCTGGTGTACAAGGAAACAAAAAGCCCAAAGTCACAGGTAAATGGTCTTTATTAATTAAACACAACTTGCATTTGCTAAGGTAGGTTTCTTTGTTCCTCTCATGCTCTGTTAACTCCTGCAATATACTGCCGAGATTATCGGGCAAATTGACCAGTTGGAAGGATGATTTTGCCCGCCTGATTTGATCATCTAGAGGAAAGTTTTACTAGTCTTATAAAGAAGCTCAGTTCAAAACATTTTGCCTGCCTGTGAAAGACAGTTGCCCCCCTGCTGAAACTGTTGATGAAACCCTTAATGCTGAAATACTTCATATTGCACTCATCTCATAGTATGCAAGATACCCTGAATCATCACCAATCTCGTATTCTGAATAAAATTTATTGGTTCAAAATTCATACCCTGGTCAAGAGCTACAAGGACTGTTTAAAAATGGATACTACAGGTACAGTATACTGTACCTCTCAGAGATATGCGAACCATCAAACACATTTTCAACTTGGAGTAAACTTGTTTGCATTCACGTTGGTGGTCAAACGGCCATTGTGGTTTGCTTATCTCTGAGCGGCACTACTGTAGGTAAGTCATACGATATCATTGTAGTTTATACCATATTTGATGTCTGGAACAGTGATTGAACTTTCAGCAATGTTTGTAGCCAAGATGACCTGCCAAAATCAAACAGTCGATCAATCAATCAATCAATCAATCAATCAATCAATCAATCAAGTTGCTATATCAGCAAGTACATTGTATACTACAGTCAACTTGCTGTTAAAAAGGCAAATAATTAAAACATTGTTTATCAGAAATCTAATGCCTGAAAGAAAACACAATAATTGTACATTCAATCAAATTGTATCGTTTCTATGAGCATGTAGAAGAATATTGTGGTAGTCTCAAAAAAACTGTATTATCAAATAAAATATGTGTACATATGATGATCGCTTCAAGCATGAAACTTGAGTTACTGTAGTTTCTATCTTAATTTGCATTTCACACTGCATGTATTTGCATCGAGCACTCCTGCAATTATCAAAAAGCCTACCAGCTATTAACTAATGAGATTAACTATTAAAAACTTAGCTAAGAAGAAATAGAAGAAGGAAAAAAAACCCTTGGGTTAACAATAGGAAAGATTGTGTGAAACCACCTCTGCTTTTCTTTGTGTATATGTAAAAAAATGTATGTATTTATGTATGTATGACGCAGACTATTGGCAAGCAGTGAGGTCACCCCTCTACACCTAAGGCAAAAAACAATTATATTGGTGCAAGCACTTTACCACACACCATCTGTTCAAAACTTTGACTGGGAATTAAAGGAATTAAGGCAAACAAGCCCAAAACTAGTCATGCTGAGAGTTCAACTCATCATTTTATATCAGCTCTGCAGAATTTAGCTTAACACACCTTTCTGAAACCCTCTGGTGGTTTTTGGAAGACACTTCCTTGTTCATGGGTGGTGATTCGGGAATGCAGTGGAAGTATTCTACAAAAAGGGACACAAATTTGAAATTAATATTTATCACCCTCACAGAAGTAATTAGTTCTGCTAGTAATTATATAGCAAGGTAGTCTTGAAGTAAATCCAAGCGTTCTGGTTGGTTCTTTCTTGGTCAGGATTTTGGCATATGGAGCAATTTCATGGTAACAGTCTTAAGTCATGTATTTTTTGTTTTGTGCTTACTAACCTAGCGTGCTTGAGCCATACTGGGGAATATTAACCCTCATGCCATAATGACCTCGGTCCAGTATTCCCCAGTATGGCCCTCACACTTGCTTAGTACAAGGTAACATACCTTATTACATGAAATTTTTGCGGCATGTTAATTTCGCGATTTTGAGGTTCCTATATTTCGCGACACCTTAATTTTGCAATTTTGCAAAAATTTTTCATTTTGACTCACTTTAATTTCGCGTTTTTGAGTGAAACACGCTTTATTTCTTTGTCAATGTTATTTAACATGTCCCTGAATTTGATCAAACAACTTAATCAACAATGTCCAAATAAACAGAAACGCAACTGATTATGTAAACAGTAACAAGAAAGATGTTCTCATAGTGTCTGCAATGCACGGTTTGTAGTTCATGCTTGAATTCAAGTCACGTTTTTAGTGGTCAATTGACCTCATTATCTATATACATTAAATATTCCTTTCTGCAGACTCCAAAGAGAAAATGTTGCC